AGGAGGAGGAGGAGGAGGAGGAGGAGGAGGAGGAGGAGGAGGAGGAGAATGAAGAAGAAGTAGACAGCGAGGAGAAGGACAAAGAAGAACACGAGGAGGAAAACGAAGCAGTAAAAAAAAATAACAAAGACGATGAAGTACGTAAGGAGGAGGAGGAGGAAAAAGATGCAGAGGACGAGGAAAGTGAGGAGGAAGATGAAGAGGAGGAGGACAAAGAAGAAGACAAGCATAAGAAGGAGGAAGAAGAGGAGGAGAAAGAAGTCGAGGACAGGAATAAGGACAATGAAATGCATAAGGAGGATGCAGACGACAAGGGTGGAGAACATAAGGAGGCGAGGGACAAACAGGCACACAAGGAGGAGGACAAAAACACAAACACAAATGGGGTGGAAGATAAAGATGAAGAGGAGGAGGATGAAAAATCAGATAAGGAGGACAAAGATGAGGAACGAGACAAGGAGGACAAGGAAGAAGAAGCAGAGGAGGAGGACACAGAAGCAATAGAAAAAGGTAAAATGGATGAAGTAGACAAGGAGGGGGAGGAAAAAGAGGAAGACATGGATGGTAAGGACAAAGAAGTAGACGAGGAAGAGGAAGAGGAAGAGGAGGAGGAGGAGGAGGAGGAAGAGGAAGAGGAAGAGGAGGAGGAGGAGGAGGAGGATGAAGAGGAAGACAAGATGGATGAAAAGGAAGAGTTAGACAAAGTGGAAGTGAAAGAAGTAGACAAAGAGGAGGAACAGGAGGACGGAGAGGTTGACGAGAAGGAGGACAAAGATGTCAGAGAGATAAAACATGAAGTGGATGAAGAGAAGGATAGTGTAGATACAGGAGGGAAGGATGAGGAGGAAGAGGAGGACAAGGAGGATGAAGAAGACAAAAACCAGGAGAAAGACTTTGAAAATAAAGAAGTGGATGAGGATGAGGAGGACGAAGAAGTAGACGAGAAGGAGGAAACAGTAGCCAGGGAGGTGAAAAATGAGGTAGAGGACGAGGATGGTGTGGATACAAGGGAGGAGGATGAAGAAGCAGAAGAAGAGGAGGACGAAGAAGAGAAAGAGGATGAAGCAGACCAGGAGAAAGAGGTACACAATAATGAAGTGGATGAGGATGAAGAAGTATACGAGGAGGATGATGGAGAATTAGACGAGGAGGAGGAGACGGACAAAGGGGACGCTAAAGCAGAGGAGACCGTGCTCAAAGAAGAGGAGGAAGACGGCCGCGAGGACGCAGACAAGAAAGAGGAGAAAGACAACAAGGGAGACAAAGTAAAGAAACGCATCAAACGCAAACCTGATGTCCCACTACATCTGCAGTTCCATAAACTGAACACCTCCTTCTCCTCCTGGAAGCAGTCGTGGATGGTGGCGGTGGTTTACAGAGGAGGAGATGAGTATGATGAGGAGGAGGAGGAGGAGGAGGTAGAGGAGTGGAAGGCTTGGAGAGAGTCGTGGAGGATATATCGCTGGAAGAAGCCGGATGAGGACGAGGTGGTGTATTTCTCCACCGAGCACCGGAGTCAGAGATACATGGGACTGACGCACGAAGGAGACGGTATGCCAAACAGTGAATGGACTCTCAGCTGGAAGACTGCAGCAAAGGATGCAGACACTGAAGAAGAACAAGAACAGGAAGAGGAGGAGGAGGAGGAAGAAGAGGAGGAAAGCTGAAATTTCTGATAGCTCAAAATTGATGATATGGGAAGTACATTGAGATTTATTTTTAAATGTTGGAGCCCAAAGAAGTTAGAGTTATAGTATTACAACCTTAATACGTTTGGTTCTGAATGTCTTCAATTGTGTCCGTAGAATCATAAGCTATACAGCATGATGTTCATTTAGTAAATGATGGTCCATTTAAAGTCAAATAGACCCTAAAGCAGGGTATGCTTTAGGGCGGGGCTACCTTGTGATTGACAGGTCGCTACCACTACAAGAACCATATATGGCATCACTCCTCCTCAGTCCAAATATGGTCACTTCAGTTCAATGGTTGCAAAAAACAAGAAGGCAACAAGCAAAATCCAAGATGGTGACAAATGCCGACCTCGAGGCTTTAAAACCGTAGTCCACCAACCAATGGGCGACAGGAGTAGAACAAAGCTTCTTATATTAGATTCCTTTGACTTCTTTTTACAAACAGTCGCCAGCCCACGGTTTGTGTGCTTCATAACTAGTAACTAGAGCAGACTAGGGCCCGTCATATAGCGTGCATTGGGGCCCGTTGTAACTACCAAACACCACTGGGTGTTCCACGTGAGGATAACCCGCCGTTATTAGTCAACGTCATCCAGGTTTCAGCCTGAGAGAGTCTGGAGGGAGCCGGAGATTCTGGAGGAATGTGCATGTGTTTTCTACTTCAACAGTACAAGCGCACAACTTCTGCATCTCACCGCCCCAATATGAAGGGCAGCCCTAAAGACTTTGGATCGGTTCTGCGATACATTTTCTCACACGGTTTTAGCAACAAAACCAGGGAGATTGTCATCAGTTTTTTTGTTGGGCAAAGAGTTAAGAGCCTCACTGGGGGTGTCCAGCATTGACTCTTGTAGTGTCACACTTTTGTAACTTTCCTCCATTACTAGAAAGCTAAATGTTTGTGCCACTTGTGGCTGGCTCCAAGAGTGAGTCAATCCCCATAGACCTCCATGTTGAAATGCCCACCTTTGAAAGCAGAGATAAACTTGTTTACATGCTAAATACAGCAAATGCAAACACGAGGTTGTGACAGCGTGGCAATATGAAGCACTTTAAGAGAGATACATTGAAGAAGAATGTGTCAAAATATGTAGAAAGTGTAATGTTAGACAATGTAATGTTCAGCGGCAGAGTTGTGGAGGATGTGGAGATCGGTGTTACTGGTTTGTAAAATGCTGTGTATGTTTACCTCTTTAAAAAGATAATGTGTAAATATGTCACCGCATTTAATAAAGTATTTCTAACAGACTAAAGTCAGAAAGCCAAATATTTAATGATTAATAAAGTGGTTTGAAAGAACCAGCTGAACATTTTGCATGATGCATTTTCTCTTTTTTTCTGACAGTGAGATGACTAGATGCATATCAATGCCATGTCTGTGAGCTGGAGTCAGGTTGTGCTTAGCCTAGCTTAGCATAAAGACCGAAAGCAGGGGGAAACAAACAACAGTGAGCGCAGAGGGAGGATGAATACACCGTTGTTCGTCGAGAAATAGTTCCAGCATGTAACTCCCCTTTACACGTTGTTTCTTCTGTATCTGTGTGGATTAAACAATCAATATACAGCATGTTATAATGCATGTTAGAGGTGGTAGTTGGTGCGTCGTAGGGGCGACTGTGGCTCAGGGGAAAGAGCGGGTCATCCTTAAATCCCTGTCTCCTCCTGACAGCATTTTGAAGTGTCCTTGAGCTAAATACTGAACCTCAGGTTGCTTCACAGCAGCACACTGCTCCTAAATGCTTAAAATGAGTTAAATCCAGAGGTCAAACTGCATGAATGTACCTGTATGTGATGTTTAAATCAAGTTTGTTTGATTTTGTGACTGTAATGAACACGGGAGCCTCTAAAGGGTGCTAGCGGAGCACCTCATTTCTCAAAACTAATGCTAAGTTGTTGTCTGTTCAGTCAACCTATGCTGGAAATATATTTTGAAGCAACGGGTAAATTAAATGTTTATGAATCAGCCACCAGATGGAGATACAGACTCAGCGTGGTCCATCTCAGCTCCTCACATTGTTTGTAGTTCTACAGCACGGAAACAGAAGCTCCATCAGCTGATATAATCCTGGTTGTTTTTAGAGTGAAACTCTAGTTACTCACTGTTTTACTCTTTTGTTTTGAACTTTCACATTAGCACAAAACAAGAACTGACTAAATAATGAAAATGGATGTAACAAATACATTTAAATATATCACTTTACTGCAAAGTCTCATTCAATCATTTTTATCCCCATATATAGTAATTGTGTTCTTTAGTTTGTTGACATCCGACATTCTAAGAAATGGCAGATATTAAATCTAAATCTAATAGGCTACAGCATAAATGCATAAATCAAATTGAGTCAAATGTCTTTTTAAGAGATGTGGTTCGTAGGACCATAATGTGCATTTCTTTGTATTTGGGCATTATGATAACTATGTTTTTTCATTCCATTAAGACTCCTTCTTGTTGGGCTATGTTCATGGGCGCCTGGTTTCATTTTTAAATGGGGAAGCAAACTTGGAAATATTCATAATTGGCGAGGGGGACAGGGGGTCTACCTCCTGAAAAAAAAGATTAAAAAAAAAGACAAAAATCCAACAATTTTAATTTACTCAGATTTTTAGATTGGGATCATTTTTAAAATCCAGCATTCTCCTGCAATACTTTCTTAAGCGTACCGACCCTAACTGTGAGCTCAATTGCACGTTTCTGAACAGTAAAATTATTTCCGACATAGGCCGTTTAAACCTAATCACAGGATTGGGGACTAATTGATGATAAGTTTATTTTTGACAAATGACAAAAAGTGGGGTAGCAAAACCATAACGTGGCTCCGTTGCTCTGTGTTCAGGCGCCTATAGCCGTGATATTACACTTTACTAAAACTACTTATTAGAATTATTTTTTTACATCTTCAGTAAATAAGATACATTTTATTCAGAAATGTAGCTTTTTTCCCTCATCTTCTAAAGCCTTCATGGTTTTTATAACTAACTGCAACATTTAGGTGAGTTTCCGTTATGTTGATTCCAGCTCTTAGACGAGACTGAAACTTTTTTCCTTTTTGTGTTCATATGTAAATATGTATTTGCGCCTTATGTCACTGTGTTATAAAGGCAGAAGAATAAACAGCTATACAAACCAATATCTGATAGTCTTATTAAAAGTATCAATGATTGGAGGTTAAAAGATGTTTGCTTATGGACAGTTTTGGAGTTCATGATCTAAAATAGGAAGATTTGCCAAAACTCAGTGCTGCGCTTGCTTCAGTGGCCACCAGCAGACAGGAAACAAGACATCCACCGCATCTCTTTGCATCATCACATGAAGTCAAAGCTGTGCTTTCTCTCACATATCTGCGTCTTCCTCTCCCCCTCTGTGTCTTGCAGAGGTCTGGCAGCTTTCACATGCAGATTTCCTGTTGTATTCGGGTCCGGTTTTCCCTCCTGCTGCTGACTCTCCTGCTGTGTATTAGCATGAGATCAGACTGCATTGTGATGCTGCACAGATTACAAAATACCCATTTCCACCTCTTGATTGTGCCTCTGTGGTCCGAGCAGGGACAGATTAAGCCGGGCTGAATGGAGGGGAGGAGGGGGTTTCCTCTGGTTCTACTACAAAAAAAACACAAAGTCTAGGATCCAGATAAAACCCTCCTTGATAAAAAGAAATTCTACAATTCAACAATTGTCTGAAAAAAGTGTATCTTTGCTAACTCATCTATCCTTAACACACTGATGAAGCTGCTGCTCACTCAGCTCAGGATGAATCAACACGCTCAGCAGAACTCTGGCACATTTACTGACTTTATTCTGTGACTGGTTTATTACATTCAAGAAAAAAATAAAGCATTTATAAGAAAGGAAGAGGAAGAAAGGGGGGAAAATAAATACATCGACAAACCTGAAACGCACACAAGGCTAGTAATTCATCATTCATAAGCAGAACAGATTGAAAAGGGAGGAAAATTAATTCATAAAGATCATAAAGTGTCCTTACCTCTCTTGATTAAATTGAATATTTCTTTGCAGTGTCAATCCACAAAGAAGTTACATATTTCCTGAAGAACCAAAACCCATAACCTGGTACTAATCCGGCCTTTAATAAATGTAGCAAAGACAGAGATGTGGTTTTCTATATGATTTATTTATATATAAAAATATTGAAAGACGTGTTGAGAATACAGTTGAGTTATTACAAGCGTGACAACCCTAATATGTCTAATGTTGGTGTGTGGGTGTGAAATGAGGCACGGTGTATAATACAATAAGGTACACATTAAGGGATGTAAACTGAGTCTATGAAGACATCTGGAAGGCATTTAGAAAAACTGGGTCGTGTTTAACTCAAGCCTACCTGGCAGGAGAGGTGAACACGCTGCTATTTATAGAAATATAAGCTGTATTTAATGGAGGTAGATGTTCAAATGTGTTTGTGTGAGTTATATTTGAGTGGAACTTTTCTTTCATGGAAATAAGAAGACGAGTCTCTTAGAAAGCTGGTCTCTATTTCTTTAGAATTAGTATCACATTTATTCCAAAATAACTTCCTGGTAAATCTTCAGGAAATTACAGGCCCATAAAATACAATATTAATTCCCAAAAAATTCCCCCTTTTATGCTTCAAGAAATAAAATTCTGCCAGAGAAGTACCGGATCTTAATTTATTCAGTAAAATAAAATTTCACTGAGACTAAAATGCAGGAATCAGTCTTTTGAACTGTGTTGTTTGTAACAGTAGAGTAGAGGGATGTAATGAGGGGAAAGGTGTTTGTGCAGGATAATATACAGCATCATGTAATGGGACAGTGTTAAAGCAGATGTGAAAGGTTTGTACTCTATAATTAAAACAAATGAAGTATAGGTTTGTGTTATTGTCTACAGTGGAGAAGAAGGGACATGCTGGATGACCCTGGGTCATTAACATGTGAAGGCAGGACTAGATGGGCGAGTGAGGGCACTATACATGTGTATGAAGGGGGGGGGGGGGGCAGAGGGAGAGAGTGAGAGACATTGGAGGTGCAAGCTGAGAAAGAGGGTGAGGAGAGGGAGAGTCTCATATATGTATATACTAAAACAACTAGAATATAAAATACAAACACAAGATATTAAACCTTAAACATTAGACATGATAATTATTCAGAGATCACAGAGCATGATATATGACGTCTCCTCTCATCTGAGGAAAAGACCACAGGACTTTTGTTAGGCCTGTTATTTCATTTTTTTATACATTAGTCCACAGCATTACACACATTAATGTCACTTTACTTTCCTCGTCTACAGATAAAATCACACTGAGTTGAAGGCAGTGAGTTCTTCATTGTTGTGACCAATTAAGGATCATTTTACAGTCTTTTATTATTGAAAACACTGAAGGTTTGCAAGTTCCTTCATGGTTGGGAAAATGATCTTATTTCTTCAGCAAAATAAAAGATTTTTTGAAAAGTCAGTTGTTGCTGTTTTCCTTAGCTTTTGTAGATTAATTTTGTAATTAGAACATTTGCAAAATTGTTATATGTGAGTTCCTTTTTGTGTCACTTATTTGAACATTGTGTTGAGACAGACATTCAGCAGGTCACAGACATTATTACACAACTAAGAATTCCATTGGTTGGAAAAATAGATCACAATCAAATGAAATATAAACTAAAAAAACAATACCATTAAAAGCCAATACATATATATCCAGCTTGTTAGTGTGGCATAGGGGTTAAAATTCAACTAGACAAATATTAATAACATCTGACATATCTAGGTGAAATTATCCAACTGCAGGTAGAAGATGCATCACATAAGTCAACTCAAAAGTGTGTTATTTTCACTATTATTATCACATTCCTTTTACTTTTGGGAGAGTTTCTCTTATTGTTGATTCCACCTGAACACGTCAGACAGACGGAAACAGAGAGCGATCGGGAGTAGGCGGGGCTTCCCCCAGTATGAGACTCACCTGCAGAGACTGGAGGCTTCAGAGGAAACTAACAGTCGCGGACCGAAGCCACTGATCGCTGCTTCTGTCTCACACGGAGCGGTGAGGACACCCAGAGGACAAGGACGCTCTCTATGGACACTTTGACTTTCTTCTGACTTCTTTGGGAAAGAAACACAGACTCTCGGTTTCGGAAAATATTTTGATACCAATTTGTGTTCGGAAAGTCTTTTAGTTTCGTTAATCAGGTGCAGAGTTGAGTTGAGACGGTGAACGAACAACTTGTTTGATTAGTTGGGATCTCTCCGGTACAATGAGTTGGACGCAGCTGATCAGGTGAGTCTGGAGACCAAAGATACGTGTGAATATATTGAATTACTTTTTATTTATTATTTATTGATTTCAACTATTTTTACGAACATACGCCGTTTTTATTTATTATTTTCAGGATGGTGCTCTGTGCAGCGACCTGTGTCCACTCTGCTGCTGCTCTGCCTGATGCAGGTCTGTTCAACACGCGCGCACACACACACACACTAGTGTGTTCGGTGCTGATTTATTCCATGTGGAAGAAACTATGAGTTATTTTACAGATTTGTTAATGCCAAAAACAATCTGATAAGTAGAGTGAAGTCTGTTGAACCCGAAACTCTGTCTCTAGCAGAGCCTCTGAATTGAACCAAATGAAATAAGTCAAACCCTAAGTATTAATTCAATTGTAAAACGCATCATACATCATTTAGGTTTTATTATCTTTTGAATTTGGGGTCCATGTGGAAGACCATGATCCATTATAATATAATGGTCCCCCCCCCCCCCTCTTCTTGACAATCATATGTTAGAAGAAGATGTGTCATCACATGATGAGGATTTTTTGGAGGAAATCTGAATTTGTTCCCTTTTATCTTTCTCAGGCTGTGAAGGAGACGACTGCAGCAGAGGCCACCAGACCTCCTCTTCGTCCCCATCCTCCTCCTCCTCCTCTCCTTTATCACCCTCTTTATCTTCTTCCGTGGTGGTGAAATCCCAGCAGTCCTCCCAGGACTTCCTGGGCCAGTTTACCCAGGTGAGCTCGCCAAATAGCGGGGACCGTAAACACCGCGACGCCAGCGCCGTCCTGCCCTTCATCGGCCTCACGGACAGTAAGTTCACACTTCACCTCTGTATGCACAGATGGAGGCGGTCAGCCCCAAAAACCAACGAAGAAGAGAGCCACATAACCCAAAACAGACTGACTCAGGGTGTATGCACTGCAAAAAGAATGTTACTATATAATAGTAAAAAAATAATCAGCTTGTACATAAATAAGTAAACAACTTTCCCATCTTTTACAGCTTGTTTTAAGAAAATAAGATTTAATGGTCTAAATGATCAAAACCGTCATGAGATTTGTATTTGCAGTATGTATCAAAGGCAGTGAATTAAACATTTTTATATATATACTTTGCTGCAAGAGCACACAGGTTGAATTTCTGATTGTTGACGTAGCGATAATATTTATTATTATAAGAAAATTAAAAGAAACTGGAAAGTAAATGCATAAAGTACAAGAGTAATAAAACAAGTTTAAACTTCCTAATTGAAAAACTGCAGCAAGAATAGATTCAGATTAAATATGTAAAGTAATATCCACAACACAGGTGGGTTGCTCATGTCACATTCATTATAACAAAACTATAAAAAGTCAGATTTTCAATTTTTTTTAATTCTTCGTAAATTGCTTTGTAAAATTCTCTTCGAACTAAAGTCTCTAAAATGAGAAGTTGTCCCGGACTGACCAACGAGGCCGTCGGCAGTTCGTTTTAGTGTTTCTCTGTTAATTTCCGATGTTTGTTCAGACTCTCAGTGTTTGTCTGCTGATGTGAAGCAGAGGACAGGAATGTGCAGCCAGATGGAGACTCTGGTTTGTCTCACAGGCGCAGATGCAGGCAGGGAGAGGCTCAACCTGAGGTGTGAGGGCCCCGCGGTGGCCTTCAGCTGGTCTCACTGCTCTCTGGACTGTAGCAGACACAATAAGACTGGTCAACAAATAAAATAAAAAAAACATATAGATTATAGTTCAATCAAAAACTGGAATAAGGGGGAGAAGCTAAAAACAAAAAAACTGAAGTAAATTCATAATATGAAAAAAAAACCTGAACAAAAGAAAGCTTTTATACAAACATTATTATATTTATATTATATTTTAAAAAGATGGCGCTGCAGAGCTGAGGGGCCCTCACATGAGCGTAACCTTTGACCTCTTCATCAACCAATATTATTATTATTAACCAATATTGGTTGATTGTATTTTATTAATTAGAGTTCATGTCTGAAATACGGAAGCTTCTATTTGAGTTGGATCCGGGTTGGACGCTGCAGGCTGGACCTAACGGTAGAAGAGGATGTGTTGAGTGGTTTATTTGAAGAAAATAGAGAAATTGTTTGAGGTGCTGTCGGTTGGAACACAAACATCCTTTTTCCTTGCAGGTGCTGAGCAGAGTCGCAGCTGCTGTAAGAACGGAGGGACCTGTATCCTGGGCAGCTTCTGCGCCTGCCTTCCGTTCTTCGCGGGGAGGAGCTGCGAGTACGACCAACGCATCAGGTAGGCAATGCTCTAAATCACCACCATCACACAGCTGTTGTTTCCTTAGTTTAGTCGGTATATGTTTTGCCTGTCTGCCTGTAGGAGCTGTGGTTCCGTTCCTCACGGTGAATGGGTTCAGAAAGGATGCTCCTACTGTCGCTGCGGTTACGGCGTTCTGCACTGCTTCCCCGACGTCTTCCATAAAGACTGTGGTAAGATGCACACACATCTGCACCTTTCTGTTGTTACCTGGATCAATTGATCATTTTCCAGATCATCCATTAGTTTTGAGGCTGTGTTGAAGGGTTGGAAAGTTTAGCATCTGGTGACGGAGGGCAGATTCTGCTTATAAAAACATGCTTCATGTGGTGCGTTCATGGACGTGCACAGACCAAGTCATTCACTCTTGTGAAGATAGAGTTGGTATTTATCCATGCTGTCCACTCTAAGGCGGTGATGTTTTTCACTTGAATGAAGAGCAAAGGTGTAGACGACGCCCGACGTTCAAATGCAGCGTCGTTCACACTTTTCACCCCAAACAAAAAAACAACAACCCCGGTGTTCACGGTAAACTCCCACTGAGTGTAAACGCACCTATTAAGGAGCACGAGCCCCACCCACTCACTTACAGTTCCAAGGCTTTTATTCCAAAATGCAAAATCCCCCCACGACTGTCGGCTCCTACGCAAACATCCCACAATGAGGACACATTACTTCCACATTAAGCTGTGCCTAGCAGCAGCAAATGCTAATAGCTTTTTTCTAACCTGTTTTTTGCCGCTTAGGCTACATGCAGGATGTTCTAACCCTCTGTTTGGCTGAGCTTGTTAGGGCTGTATGCTGCTTGAAAAGAAGATCTGCAAACACTATTTGGGTGTTCTGGAAAAACTAGTTCATCGCCATATTTGTTAATCATAATTTGATTTGTAACTATATTAATCTCCTATGCTGGAATTTTATTATTATTTATTTATTTTATATGATTTACTATTATCTATCTGTAAAGATCAGGATTCTGTCAATGAATGATTATTTTAGTAGGGTCAGTGCATCAGTAATACACAGCCATCATATTTATCATAATATATTATTTACTACAATTGCAAAACTTTGGTGTATGCCCATGCCTACATATTATACAGTCTTTCCGATGGTGTGCTTTACAGTGAATAGCATGTATCTCAGTAACTAAAGGAATACATGTTAACACACCATAAAATGAACCCTATTGAGGTAAAGTGAAGAGTGCAACAAAAGGAAGTACAAAAATAGATCCAGTGTAGACAGGTAACCTTAAAAACAAAATGAAGCATTGAAAAACAAACAATAGTAGCCTGAATGCTGTAAACACCACACAATAGTAACCACAAAGTGTACTGAAATGAGTTTGTTACAATAATATTAAATACTTTTCTGTCTCTCTCTATTTCCCAGATGACTCGGAGGAGGTACAATGGTATCGTTCGTCAGCTGTTGGTACAGTTCGGCCTGGCTGCTTCCTGTATCTGGTGCTGCTTCCTCCACTGCTTCTGCTCCTCTGATGTTTTAAAAAAAAAAATGGATTCTGGACACCTCCACTGGGATTCATGTGAAACACTGAGCTGTGAACTATACAAGATTTCTCAAGCTGTTTCATCAGGACTAAAGATCGGTTTCCAAACATCATCTTACTACAGAATATCTGGATTTTCAACCCATAAGTTACACTGTGTTCTGGTTTAGGGGGACCCTCTGCAATGTTGTGGTTTAGGGGGACCCTCTGCAATGTTGTGGTTTAGGGGGCCTTCTGCAATGTTGTGGTTCAGGGGGACCCTCTGCAATGTAGTGGTTTATAGGGACATACAGATGGTCTTCTGCACCTAAATTGAGCTGTTCATGGCCTCGTCCCATTTAGACTCCAACACATGAAAGATGAGCCCATGAAATGTGAGGGGATCTTTTTGAGGACCGAAGATTGAAAGTACTTGAACCGTATCACTGGACCAACTATAACATTTTCAAGAATCCAGTAAACCGTTTCTTCAAACAAGGAAAGTTGCAGTTGCATCTGAACTAATACCAGTTTTCTCCTTGCTGGTCTTCTTGTCTCAAGAGATGCTTAGCAATGTGTGTAGATGTCTTTAAAATACATCCCTCCGCTTGCAGATTACAACATTTCAGGGTTCAGGTTTATAACTTGTCAGCTTCACACATCAATTCATGACCGTGTCTCTTTTAACAGTTTAACAGTGAATGCAGCAGCGACTGACGTCCAAACTCTGCGTCTTAAGTGTCTTTAAACCTTTCTGTCCGGTGAGACGTCGTCTGTGTGTCTATGGTGTCTCGAAGAACAAAGTGTATATGAAGGAAGCTGTACATAAGATTTTTATGAAAAGTATGTTGTTGTTTTTTTTTTAATTCTAGTCTCTGTAGCTTAATGTGATTTCTTTTTTTTTTTTTTTTTTTTTTTTTTTTTTTTTTTTTTTTTTTTTTTCTTTTCCCTTTTGTAAAATAAGACATATTCTTGTTTTGAACTTTGTCTTCTGCCTGTTTCCACAAATTGTGAGTCGATGTGACATTTTGTCCTGTGTTTATGAAATTGTTTAACACAATGTCATTAAAACAATTGTGACAGTGGGAGTAACATGAAAGTTAACGTTTTAATATTAAATAAATCACTAGGTTTAAATTAGCAAATCCTGTTTCAAAGTAAGGGTTGATTGTTCATTTAAAAAAAAAATTTAAACGATCTTTCCCACGGGAGTGAATTGTAATTTTCTCTCTCTCTGTTATCTGCAGGTATTTTCAGTGGGAGCTCTGCCCGTTTCTTATCTCCAGAGTTTATTGATGAGGTTCGTATTGCTTATCAGCTGTTCTCCTATCTTAAACAAACACATCAGCTGTTGTTCTGCAGCCTGTCGGCCTGCCAGCTGCTTCAGTTCGCAGCTCTGAAATTAACCGGCAGGATAAAATTAATTTGTTAAAATTAATTAGCTCAAAGGATCGTTATTGCATCTTGTTATCTCTTGTTACTGCTTTCTCCAGTATTTCTAACACTGTACTGTTGAATCTGGAAACATGGTGACGCCACTAAAAAGAAGCTCCTTCAAAGGGTCGCCTAATACATCTGAGGGGTCATGAAATGATCAATAAGGTAGGAAAGAAGAAAGTTTGGCTATTGTATTTTAATATTTGTTGGTATTCAAGTTAAGCCAAGTGAGAAGTTTAGCAGGGAAATGTCTCTTTAGTGGAACAACTCATGAAAATCTGAAACTAGGCACTGTTTCATTGAGGTTACATAGGTTCACAACCTGTTTTAATCTTATCGTGTTATTTTTTGATAAGTAAATATGCTATTTTTAAAATGCTGAATCTTATGGTTGAAGTAATGAGTAATTATATCTGTCAAATACATGTGGAGTAAAAAGTATATTTCCCTGTGAAATGTAGATGAAAAGTATAAAGTAACATTAAATGGAAATACTCAATTAAAGTACAAGTACCTCAAATCTACTTGTGTAAATGTACATAAAACCCTTTCTCATAGGACAAAACCCCCACTAATATTTGGCTTTTCTCTCCAGTGGGGAAAGTTACAGTCTGCGGTTATTCCCGGGACCAATGACTCAGAAGTCACAGGTATTGGCAGGCAATGATATGTTACATGCGTCGAGTTGAATATATAATAAATAAAATCAATTGGGATTTGGACAATTATTGTAATTAATTAACTCCTCAAAGTCACTATACTCGTTGGTGATCTAGGAACACACTTAGTTCAAACTCGACAAACAAAATGAAACTCATCAAAACTGCTTTGGTTACTCTTTCCGCTGATTCAACAATCATCAATTCTGGTTTGATTGGAATAAACCTTTAATTCACTGAGAAAAATATGAAAAGAAACAGCCGTTATATGCGCTCCTCAAAGCCACAACATTTCACTGACAGTAATTGTATCATGCTGATCATTTTAAAACACAATTATTCACACTCGAAAGAAATAAAATAAAACTCATCAAAACAGTCTTTCCACTGTTCAAAAAATCACCAACTCCGGGTTGGCAATTTGAAAGAGTGACTGAATACGTAACTAATATGAAACATAAATTTCTGTTGATCCTTTTTCCGATAGTTGGTGACACTAGAAGTCTTCCTACGTTTTTGCATATACGTGTGCTTAAGAGGGAAACAAAGCACTAGTAGCTACGTTACCGAAGAAGAGTACAAGGAACGAGGGAGAGGAAGAGGATAACAAGAGGAGGAAATGTGGATGCATGTCAGGGCTTTTATCAAAGAAAATGTCTTTTTTTTCTCAGTTGAATCCCTGAGTAATCACTGTATAGCTTTTCTTTTGTTATCCATATAACAACTTGTTTAAAGGCTGCGCTCTGATTGGACAGACAGCATCTCTAAAGAACAAGCGGAAAATGTGATTTAACCCTGCACGGTGTCCGCTGCCTCCTGAATGTTCTGTTTGCCAATCTCCTCAGGAGGAGGTTAACAGGATCGGAGGGGATTTAAGGAGCTGCAGGTGGAGACGGAGGAGATTCCGGAGTCTGTGCAGAGGAGGAGCAGCAGGAGACGGGAGCAGATTTAAAGGGCTTAAAGGGAATGTGAATCAGAGGAGAGCAGTTCAATGATTTTATCCCACGTCCTCCATGTCGTCCCGCTGCGACACCCTCATCTCCTCGTGCTTCATCTATCAGCACACTAATGAACCCAGAGAGAGAGAGAGAGAAAAGCACAACGTTCCATCATCAGAATGCAACTCCAGCTCCATCTGCTGCAGCTCAGAGAGGTGAATTACACCATCGTTCCGGTGTTGAGCAAAGCAAATAACCTGGCAGAGAGAAAGCGAAGAGATAAATATGAGGAAACTGTGTGAGAGTTTGTCTTATCTCTCCAGGTTCCTCAAACAACTTCACTAGCTGATAGCAGCAATCAGAGAGAACACACTGCAGATATCTGCCAGTATGACACACACACACACACACAAACACACACACACACACACACACACACACACACTCTTTAAACAGATAAGATTATTTGATTGATTATTACAGTCAATTTAAAACACAGGAATAATTATGAGGATATGAGTTAATTAATAAAAGCATGTTATGAAGAATTCAATAATAACAGCACTGCAAAGAGAAGAAAACATAAAAAGAAAGAAACAGAGGGAGCGGTGATGTATTCATGACTATTTAAAGGCTGAAGAAAAGAGAGAGAGATAAAGAAAGAAAGGTATCTGATAGTGAGAAACTGTTCCTCAGTTTAGACACTTTACACATTTTAACTGGAGTGTAGAATGAAGAGCATTGATTGGTCAGCAGATCTCACAGTTCAGAGATAGAACAGTGCTTTAACAACCAATAGAATCCTCTTCAAACTGGATTTAGTGCTTTGCTGGTAACCAGTGAAGAGAGTCCAGTCCACCAGTAGTGAACACATTGTCAATCCCAACGCTCCGTTCTACATTCCCCTCTAGCTTCAGGTGTGGACGAGTCAGGGTTGGTGGTCAGTTTACACTTGTTACATGGAGTTTCCTTTCAAAATAAACTTCTGTGTTCACAGGAAATGAAGTGTGCTTTTTACAGGCATATGGTCTCTTTTCAAAATAAATTTCCAACATAGGTCAACATAGTTTTTTTTTACCTGCTACGGTTTAAAGAACAAAATTTCTGTGTTAATACAAAACAAATCAAATGTTAAATCAAAGTCTTCTCAATATTTCATCAGTCTGTCTGTTTGCTAACTAACTGTTGATATTCTCATTGATTGAAGAAATCCAAGATTACATTACAAAGCAGTAAAGAGTTGCATCAATAGTTTTCAATAATATCTTCTAATACTATTTATCACCAAGTATGATTTTAGTTGTCTGATGTTTGTGTGTAAAATGTGGGCAGTAAACTGGACTGTGCTGTGAGACACACAGTGACCTGGAGACACCGTGGAGACTGTCTCACTCTCTGCCTCCTCCATCTGCACCACCTGCACACATAGACTGTAAGTTATCAAAGTGAGGACATGAAGCCAGAGACAGATCCAGATCCTCATTATGAGTCCTCATCATGATGCAGGTCCACCATGAGAAACCTTCAATAGATTCAAACATTCAAATGATATCCAGGGTGGGGGACACCACTGATGTCATCATCATTTTACCATAACAACCAGTGTGACTGCTGTAAGGATATAAATACTGAGGAGTGTGAAGCTGCATGAGTCAGCGTAAAGAACCGTTGATCACAACGATCATTGATACGAGTGAATATTCATGAGGTGCTTTGCATTGACCATTTATGGATGAATGTGGGCGTGTAGAGGGTATGAAGCTGATCCATGTGAGCACGTTTCAGGTGGACTGTGATTTATGAAGGGAACATGGTCTGCAGGTGTGTGTGTGCACGGTTTAATATGTCTGGTCTTGGTACCAGTAAAGAGTCTCTGCTGCATCTTGAACCAGCTGCTGGGGAGATAAGACTGACTGATTACAGAGACACAGTTACAAGAATAAATGCATGAACTATGGTCTCCATGTCCTCAACAGACAGGAATGATGGAAGAAGTTACTGCTGACAACACTGTCGATTTATTTATCTAACAAACATGAAATGACAGAAGTCAACAGTGTTGGTTGGTGTGTTGGAGGAATCTGCAGGTACGAAGGTTAAGACCTCAGTTTCATTCTGCTTTAGCTTTCAGGAGCATTTTGACATCTTCAATGTTCAGCAGAGAGTTAAAACAGCTTTAAACACCAGGTTTCAGCTACAGCTGGGTATCAACAGTAGGAAATATTATATTTTCTACAAAAACACCCCAAAGGAACAGACATATATATATATATATAGATATGTGACTAGATAGATAGAAAGATGGATACTTCATGTATCCCTGGGGAAGATTGGCACGTCACATTTCCAGCTCTGGAGGTGAGTTCATGTCCTCTTTTAAAGCCAATCACAGTGTTGGAGTGTTGATGTTGTCAGTGATGAGGAGCTTTATGTTCTCAGGTTTGTTCCAGTGTGGAAGATGCTGTTGGTTAAACGTTAAGACGTATCATATAAAGTCCTATAAACATGATACAGCTGATCTTTGAACTGAGTGCTGCAGGTTCACACTGGTTTATTAAAGTGTTGGAGTGTGACAGCAGCCTGAAGACACTGAGGACTGATGAAGAAGAAGAAGAGGATTTAATCCTGATGGAGCTCATCGTCCCACTCATATCAACACAAAACTCTTTTTCCACACAGACCTGGTCCAGACAGCAGAGAGCTGCAGAGTGCTGAAGTTCATGAGAAGAAAGTGAGTAAGTGGAACTTGAATTGATGACAAACAAGCTGCTCTTTGTTGGTTCATGTGTTGACCTTCTGTCATTGATAATGAGTCCACAGCACAAAGTTGATCTGACAACAGATACTTGAAACTACAGCT